GGGGGGGGGTCTTTATCTGTGATTGGCAAAATCATCACCTATATAATTGTTTCTAGGTGCTAGCGCGTTTGACGTCGTGGCTAATTATCAATGAAGATGAGAGAAGTGTGCTATTGATGTTTGCAGCTATATTTTTCCTATTTTCTGTCATTTTTGCGACCCAAGCTGACAATTTTTTTGATATCCAGTTGCTCAAAGGTGAAATCTTTAACAAATTTCCCCTCTTTTTTTTGTTGACGGTGGTATTCTTTTAGCCTATGATCATTTCTGTGATAACATTGCAACATTAATGAATGAGACCGGAATCACCGAGAGCTATGCACGATACAGGGATCCTATACTTTTGTAAGTAATCTCTTTTTTACATCGAGTGAGTGGCCTATCCATATAGGAAAAGTTGATTTCAGATATGTATCCATGTCTGTTCTCTTCTCGTTCATTGCCGCGATGCTCGTATTTCCGAACTTCCGCTACGCCAGTATGTACACTAATGCTCAACAAAGTGTATCCCGATTGACGAAGTAATTTATTGACGTTACCTCCTTTGTATTCTAATTTTTTTTATTCCAGATTCGGTTTACATATCACATTTTTGTTACCACTTCTCACTCTATTATCATTTTCAAGTCCCGTCAAGAAGCAGCTTGTGTTTGGACCGAGAAAATTGTAGGTGAAGAGAATGAAAAAATCGTGCTTACTAATCGATATGTTTCAGGCTCACTGAGAATCAGTTAGATATTATGCGGGTTTATCTAGCTATCCTAACACTCGTAGTGAGGATAGCTTACAAAGCGCCCCATCTTCAGGTAAGCGGCTCAGCTTTGGGAATGAGGACTGATAATTCTTGATTTCAGGCTCATTTAAACTTGTCTTCCGCAAAATTGAAAGCGTTGCAGCGAGAAACTGGCTATATCAGAAATATTGCCTTGCAAGCAACAGTCAGTTATTCTTTCTTAATTTTATAGCTGTATGTATAAAAACTAGTTTTAGATTTTCCGCTATTACTCGTATTTCTGCGCCGTCATATTACAGTATTTTGCTCCCGTACTTCTTTCCTTCTTCTTTGCATTGTTGCTCAAAACTACAGGTAAGAATTAGTGAAATTAGAGGAAGGTGTTACGCTCGATATTCTAGGTGATCTCTCATGGACAGGAATGCCCCCTGCTCACATAGCCCATTCTGCTACAGTAGTGGGATCCCTGCGCTCAATTTTCGACGCTACAGTGTGCCGTGCTATCTGGTCGTTTTCACTAGTCTTTGTAACATTCACAAACGTTGTTCTCTCATTTATGGGCGTTATGTACAATTCATATTTTCTGCCTCTTTGATTTATGTTCAGGGAATTGATCTGCTCATGATGAGCATGGCATGGTGCTCATTTAGGAAATGAATTGCTCGACGAATTAATCTCATTTCAGCCGTTTTTGATTTGTTTCATCAAGCTTTAATTCACCGGATCGTTTTGATGGAAACTTTTATAGGAATAGTTAGTATTGATGATTTTTGTTGAGATTGAATTTGATTTTCCATTTGTCGGACTTTCGTCTATGTCGAATTAGGTTTTGAAATTTTGATTTATACCGTTAATAGAGCCTTGTCGTTATAACTTAAGATGCCTTAGCACGGGAGTAAACCGCAGCCTATCCAGACTGCAATATATTGTTGTTTTGTCAAGTTGTAGGATGTGTGCCATATTAGATACTAGTAAATGTTTTTGACTTTTTCTTTTCAGTCAAAATGGTGTTTGTACGCTATATTTTATGTGATTTTACTTCCGTAAACGAAAGACCGATACAATATGTGTCAACAGTGGTCCCTTTTGCAGAGCAACTATAGTCTGCTCCATGACGAAGGCGGTCGCCCTTTAAGGTTGAAAGC